GCACCGGGTTAATCTTGGCCGTCCCCTGGGCCTTCTGCAGGGTCGGTTTTGCAAGAAATAGTTGCTTAGCCTTCCTTTTCGGAGGATTCACAATACGGTCAAACCATTGCAGCTGTGACTTCTCAATCTTGAGAAGCAAAGGCTGTATTCCAAGGCTCTTCCGGATGTCAGTATTCCGGAACATGTCGAGACGCGTAAAGCCAGTGACTCGTCTAAAATGCTTTCCCATGCATCGGCATATTTTCATGCCGTCCCCTTATCAGTGTTCGGTGGTGTGATATATATATATGAAAAATGATTTTTTTGCAATAAAGCGTAATTCCAACATCAGTTGAACAATTCAAAGGTAGTCCCCTACTGTAGCATCATGTCAAACCTCATGTGAACCGACAAGCATTTGTAAAAACAAAATGGAGATATCAGAACCTTCAATCTTGGTTGGCTAGTTCGAACAGATGGCTATTAGGGAAAAAGTCTCGATATGTGCAAACGCCCACGGCGACGATCGCTGCCGCACCAGTCATATCAGGCGTTTGCTGATTATCTGATTATCCGGTGGTCGTTGAGTAAGTTATTGGAAATCTTCTTCCAGTGTTATATACTCATACTCTTCCTCTTTCAGAGGTGGACGGTATTACATGAGAGTTTCATATCACCATAGTTTTAGGTCTAAGTTGAGTTTTGATGAAAATGTCCCGTCCAATCGAAACGTTAAAGACGTGTTTCTTTCATAAACGCGCAACGATTATCCTGATATGACGGATATGCGGATATCCGGTTGGATCACGGTTCTTAAATAGCCTCATTGGCTGCAATATTGATTGTGAGTACATGCCCTCAGCTGCACGTTTACTTCACGAGTGATCCACGATTTTATTCGCTGTCCTCAACTCACAAAGTAACATATGTGTTAACAGTCGATTATAAGCCATCGGTACCAGTAGATGCCCAAAACCTTCGCGTCATAAGACCGCTCTAGATGCAAAGCAGAAATATGCCTTCAATCTCCGTCCTATTTTACCCGTTGCCGTCTTTGTTGTTGTTTGCCAATCGTTATGGAATGCTAGCGGAGCGTAAACATGAAAAGAACTCAGATTTATGATGCCTGGTCGTCGAGAATATCATTTCAGGCATTTCAGGCTGACATTAGCCAGTGCTGATGCGGCAAAGATGATTCTGGTTGTCGCCAGAGGGTCCGCTTCAACGAGATATCTACCAAACAATGCACCGGTACGAAGGTGACGCGAGGACGCTGTGTGTTTTGAAGTGATTATGTGAAGGCGATATTTGGTGCCCGTTACCCGACTGGTTGCATGGTCTATGGTCATGTTGTCCTTGCGAATGCGTCTTGGTCTCGTCCACGGTCGCCTATATTCAGCTTTTTCCTTCATCTCCTGGCAACAGTCTAGAAGCCAAGCATAACATGGCGAGCAGTGGAATTAAATCAGAATTTCTCGATGCCCATTTGCTGCTTCGAAAATTAGCTGCGTGATCAGGCCAGCTGCGCAAAGGTGTATCAGTGGTCCATGTTGTAGGGATAATTACATTCCGTTCCGTCGACGACCTATTGCTAGGTAACATGGTCGCGGAGGGACACTTTATGATATTCTACTTTTCAGAGCTCTTTGGATGGTAAGCAGCTAGCTCCCATCTGATTTAGCAGTAGATCTACCGTCTGCGCCCTATTACAACGGCTAAATCGAATGGCTCTTCCTTGTCCGCATGGGAAGACATTTTAATAGTCATCTAGTAGTTTAACGGTCATAATCTAATTGAGAGATAATCATCTAGGAATTTTTAATCTTTCGCCGCTTCACTGTGCATAGGATTCACTTTTTCATATCATCTCAACGTTCTGCATCTAGTCATCATAACAGCTTGATATGTGATCTCAGAAAACTTCCTCTGCAACAGGAGGTTATTTTTTAGATTCAGCTGTCATGTGAAGTGCTGGCTGCTTAGCCTTCACTGTATCACTCTGACCAGAACGAAAGTTGTGTTTTGAGCAACGGAATCTCTTTGATTGCCGAAACCCGGTCATCACGGTTTCCAAGCTCTTATATAACTAGGAACGATTTATTCATTCAGCGTTTTAATGCTCTTTAAGTGCCTTGA